CACTGAGCTCTCAATCTCTAGATCTTCAGACTCAGATCACCGTCTGGCCAATTCATCAGCAGATTCTTTGCCAGATATGTGGCAGTGTCCAGGGACACAACAGAGTTTGACAAACTCTTGATGACAAATAGATATTTCTTTGGTAGACCGCGCTTATGATATTATATTCTCAAAATTCAATCACGATTAATTCCACAACGAGTCGAAATGGTTTCCATTACAAACAAACAGGTTGAGATAAAAAAAAACTATAGCAAAGTCAAACGCCATAATTTTTACATTTTTTTAAATAGTTTTAAACGAAAGCAAAAAATCTCGGAAATATCATCAAATTTTAGAACAAGTTTAGATTTATTCGAATTGGTCACCTTTGGCTCGAATTATGGCCTTCAATGAAACCGTCACACCATGCTCGTATGTTGCTCTGCGGTATTTGGGCCCAGTTTGCTTGAGGCAATCGACCCTTTGGTATTTGTAGTGCCAACTTCCTTTTCAAAATACTCCAGACACAATAGTCCAACGGATTGGTATCCGCAGATTTTGGTGGTCATTGTGCACTGGAAATGAAGTGAGGAACCTCATTTTGTAATCATTCTTGTGTGGCGTGTGCTGAGTGTGATGGTGCTGAGTCCTATTGGAATGTCCAAGGTCTGCGGCCAAAATGTTTAATACATTTTTAATACACGCTCCAGGCGGCCCACACCATCGCCATGGCCGGCGCTTGAGTTCTGGTGGCCAACCGAAGGTGCACATTTTAAGCTGACCTCTTTGGCAAGTAAACACGATCATTTTGTTTGTTTACAAACTGTTGAACATCGAATGTTTTCTCATCGAAGAAAACCAAATTCGGCAGTTCACTACTTTCGGCCAAGCGAAAGAAGCAACTCTCTCTTTTGAGTCTATTTTCTTTCTGTTTCGATGTAAGTTCTTGCACTTTTTGGAATTTCAATGGCTTTACCCCGATCTCATTTTTCAATATTTGCCGAAGGGAATATTGCAATATGTTCAGCTCACGAGCCATTTTTCGGCCATTGCAACGCGGGTTTCGATCAAGTCATCACTTCTTTACTTTTCGAAGCTTTTCTGCTGATCTTGCTGTTTTCTTTCGTCCACTTACTTGACGTCGGGCTACGCTACCAGTATCTCGGTGACGAGCGATGGCACGAGACACAAAAAAGTTATTCACATTTAAATGCTGGAGTGCTCTAACGAAAGCCACTTGTGGTTTTCCAGCCAAATTTAAAAAATCACATTATCACGCTTTAATTCCATCACGAATAACTTTCTTTCTGGAAAATTCTCACCAAGCCATATAATGAGCTGTCACTGGAATAATTTTAACAGTTAGGAACAGCTTAGAAATGACAGCAGTCTGAAGTTGGTTGAGGTTTTTTCATCTCATCCTGTATGTTGAAGGTGTATCTGAATATGAACTGATTTCAACAAAATCTCAGAACTTTTTTTCTGTTCGGTGTAAAACTTCGCCTTGATTGGATAGATTGTTTTAAATTGTTGCATAATGTTCGTACATCATTATTGTGAGGGCTTGTCAAAATACATCTCAAATGGAAAAAATATATAAACCTCTACTGGGCTGATAAAGGCCCTAACCCAATGATTAAAGATTGATATGAGCTTAATAACAACTGCAGCGTTATTCAGGCGGAGATTCTTACCATCAAGAAGGCGGCCAAAATGGTAAAAGAACTTTGCAATAGCATATATGTCAATAGTCAGACGGCTCTTAATGCTAACAAGTCATGAGCCATTAAATCGAGAGCCACTCATGACTGCAAGTAAGCCCTTCTTAAAACACGTGGTCTCAATTAGCTTTGTTAGGTTCCAGGACATAGCAAAATAGTGGGGAATGAAGTGGCTGATGATTAGCTCGAGGAGGGTTCCTAGTAGAATGATAAAACTGTTAAATTACAAATAAGAAGCAATTATGTCAGCTGCTTCAAAAATATCTCATCGAAGAAACTGCCACTTGGAAACCAATTGCAGGGTATTTAAGGCCATCTGACCGGTAATATCGAGAAGAAAAAGAAGCTCTCTTCTAGCATTTCGTAGAATCGTGGTAGACGTAGTGACTGGTCACTGTTCCTGACTACTGTAGACTATGTGAAGATGAAGAAGAGATAAAGACGATTGAAAAGCCACAAAACAGATGTCCCATGTCCATATCCAACAAAAGACTCAAGTTTGCCAAAGACACTCTCTGGCTAGGCAGACAATCGAACTATTCATCTTTCTATAAACCTTTTCGTCTTCTTCTTGCTTCTATATCTCGGCCTTGTGCATTAATGTCTTCTAGAAACTGTCATTACACAGAAGGTTCAAAACCCTCTGAATTAGTCTTTATTAAAACAAGTTAAAAAATCAGTCGGTTTTGCCGAGAGATGTATACTATCAGCCATGGTACCCTTTACTATAATATGGATTGGTATATTAAGTTTGTCATACCGTTTGTAACACCACGAAACATACATTTTAGACCCTACAGAGTATATATTCTTAGTCAGCATAAAATTCTAAGTCGATTTAGCGATGTCTGTCCGTCAGTGAAAATCACTCTAGCTTCCGAGCCAATTGAAGTAGGTTGACAAAATTTTGTCCACGTTCTTGGTATAGCCCCCATATAACAGTACCTCCTTGTATATTTTAGCGACATTATTCACCAAAATTGTTTAATTTTTCGTATTTTTAGTTCGCTCTTGATGCTTTTGTCTATTACAGAAAATTGAATATGCGGATCCACGACGTCGTATGGCCCCCATGTAACGATACCTCCCAATATTCAGTGTGTTGATGAATTTGGCGACATTATTCACCGGAATTTATTCAAATTTCGTAATGCCTACTACATCCTGCGACAAAAAATTCGGCATGCAGGTCTACGTTTTTAAAAATCTTGAACCCTATGTGGGACAGGTTGCAAAAGAAATGGTCCGATCTCTAACATATTTATAACAGATCTTGTGTTGATGGAAATATTGAGATGTACCAAGTCTGGAATGCAATCGGATATTAATTTCGCTTTTTATGGATATGGATATTCAAAATTTTGAGAATTTATGGGGGAGGTACCACAAACAGTGTTCCGATGTGTGGGATGTGTGAAATATAAAGGGAACCTGAAGCTTATTTTGGATTTTATAAACGTTTTGGTTATTCAAAACGTTGACCCTTTGTGGGGGAGGTACCAGAAGAAATGGTCCATTCTCTACCGCTTCTATAACAGATCCAGTGTTGAGAGATGTGCAAATGGAATCGGATGTTAATTTCGCGTTTAATTAGCTTCATTGATAATGCCCCATTGTGGGGAACATACCAGATGGAGCGGATCGATATATTCCATCTTAACAGCAGACCTTTGGTTAATAAAAATATTTGGCTGTGTGAAATTTGAAGGCAATCGGACCCTTACATCACATTTTATAAGAGTTGTAATTATTCAAAATGTTGACTATTTGTGGGGGAGTTACTTGATGGAGTGGACCGATATTGGATTAGGATTTGCAAAGTTGGAGCAAAATCGGATTATCGTTTCTCTTTCTATGCCGAAAATATATTTTTTTTGAAAATTTCGACCTTTTGTGGGGTAGGCCAAAAGGAGTGGACCGATATTGCCCATCTCCGAAATTAATCTAAGTTTGACAATAATATTTAGATGTACCAAATTTGGGCGAAATCGGATACTTCCTTCGAGAGTTGTCGTGCGCACCAGCCAGCCAGACGGACATCGCTAGATCGACTTAAAATTTCCTTAAACGTATTTGGCCCAAAGAGACCTAGGGTCTAAAACCGTTATTCCGATGAGGCACGTTTTCGCCGTATCAAATGATATACACCCTCTGTAGCCATATGGCTGAGGGTATAAAAATTGTCCATATTATGCTGAAAATTTAAGCAATTACAGAGTACCATAACTTGCTTAAATTACTATTATATCAAGATAAATAGAGATTAGTAGACTAAAAGCATTGAAGAGTATAATGAGAGATATGGAAATTGGTCTTGAGAAGAGACAAGATGAGAGTTATTCATCCTGGGAAGAATTAGTGGTGATAAGAAAGATATAAACTGAGAAGAAAAGAAGGGATAGAATGATCTAGTAATATGAAGTTTTGCCTGGACATATGCTTTTAGCAAACCATCCAACCTAATTATGGGATATACGTCTGAGATGAACTTTAGAATTTCTATCTTCCACCTAATGAACAGACTATGTCTCTTGCCTGACAGCATAGTAGATGTCCAATCGCCCCTACTTCTTTTTTGTCCTCGTATAGCCTGTAGCAATCGAAACCTCCGTTATGCCATCTTAACAAATCAATTTTAATTTGGTAAGGTCAAAAGCAATCACTATCAATACCGATAATACGCTTTCTTAACCTATAAAGGGTAGTCATAAAAACTCAAATTATTTTAAAACGCAATTGTGTTTGTCTTGTTTACAACAAGAAGCTATTTATATAGTCAAGAACTAGATTTCACAATGTTAATGTGACGTCACAGTTTCCAACTACTGATTATAAAAAAGTACCTTTAGGTATAAACAAAAACTTCTTTTCGTATAACTCGTTATGATAAGCAAATTTTATTTTTTGTCTGTCGTGGCCTCACGCACCAACCAACAACAAAAAATGATAAAACAAAAGTGGGTGAGAAGTGCCACGCGTATTTATGGCTAATTTACGCGGCAAGGGGTGTACCAATTCTCAGAAACTTAAAAATGAAACACACACAAATATCATGATCACTTGATAAAATTCTTTTTTGTTTAATTTTCAAACAGGTATTTAAAAACATTTTGCATTTGTACAAAAAATAAAAAAACAAACAATTGTTTTACCAATGAGTAACTTAAAAAACAACGAAAATATATTCGAAAATATACAAAAGTTCAAATAAACGAACCAAATATTATGTTCAACATTTATAACAACCGAGAAAAATATTAAAACTTAAATAAGTACATAACTTTATTTCTTGTTCCATTTTTCCAAACTAAATTAATTCACCCTTTTCATTAACTCTAATGACTTTGACACTGTTGCTATTTTCGGCCAGCACCTCATCAAATGTCTTGCCCTTGGTATTCGTAAACCATCCCACATTATCGATGATCAAATGGTTAACAGAACAGCCATCACATTGCAGGATAACAACACCACTTTTGTATGCCTCCTCGGAGACTTTCTTGCTGTTGCGGGTATTACAAATTTTACAACGGTAGACTATGTCGATTTTGCGTGACATCCGACGGTATTGCTTAAGGGTTGTTGGTGAGATTGATCCCGAAGAACATGCTGGAAGCTTTTTTCCCGTAAAGATGGTGGCATCCAGAATCGTTTTTGGTATTAGCAGCGGTTCTTTGGGTCTGTTTTGATCGATTTTCTTCACTTCAGCACCAGTCGGTGGATTAGTGGGGGCTGCATTGTCCACCGGTTGTGTGATGTTAATGAGGGCATTTTGTCCATTTTGCCTGAGGTAGTTTAGTGTACGCGAACTAAAGAAGTTACGCAACGAGTTCATGTCTTTGTTCTGTTATTTATTTACAATTGACACATTACGACTCTTTGGAAATCTGTTTCTTTCGCGATGTTTGCCTGGCCCCAATGCACCAAATGTTTTTGTTTATTGTTCTTAAAATTAGCACTCTCGACTTCCTTTGGCAAATGTTTGTTACTGATCACAAACAAACGCACTAACTACCATGGCGCAATGTTTGATGTTCCAAACAGCTGTTCTAATCTATGCTAAATTGTCAAACGGTACGTACATATGAAAACGTAAACAAATTGGTAGCATTAGGGGTTTTCAATCACAATAGTGGTTTCTCGTTCACATTAGGAGTGTTCGTTTACTCGATAATATCTACAAAATTTAACTGAAAACAGTTCGTTTATCCAAAAGTTCCGTAACTGAGAGCGAAGTGAGAGAGACATTTTGGCATTAGAGTTACTGAGAGTTTGCAAAATCTTACTGAAAAAATATTCTCAGAAAGAATTATGCTGTAACATCAGCTACAAAATAATATGTTGTTTTGTAAACAAATCATGGTCAAATTAAGTTAGTAAAGTCATTTCAAATAAGCATACCCATATCTGCATTTTCTGTAATTTACCTTGTCAAATTTCACTAGATAAAAAATAGGTTTCCATCTATTTGTTGCATGTGGTGTCTTTGAGCATGGAAAAGAATAGACGCATTGACACAGCTGGTGGGACAATGAACTGTCAAACCAATTTTGGAATTGAAAATGTTGAATGAAAAATTATTTATATTTGTAAAAATTGTGTATAAGAAAACATTTAAAAGTCTACTTATTATTGACAAAACATTTAAAAATTGTTGACATATCAATGTTTTCAAGCGTTGATGCATTTACCTGTATTCTTCTACCATGATTCTAATATATCTCAGAGTAAAGTCTATGAATTACCTGAAATAAGTGGCACAGGAGTGGTTTGACCGAGTTCTGAACTTCAATGATAGCTGATTCGGATCCTAGCCTAGCCAATTCGTCTGCAATCTCGTTGCCTGGAATATGGTAATGGCCAGAAACCCAACAGAGCTTGATGGACAAACCAAAATTATATGCAACAAATTATTATCATTTATTTATTATTTTTCCTTATTTTTTATATGAACAAATAAATTAAAGGTCTGGATTTATTTCAAGGATATGATCTAAATGGTTCAAAATTTACGTTTGTTCTTAAAAAAATCCAAGGCAAAACAAGTTAATATCTATAATGCGCGTCCCACAATTTACGTTCTTTCAAACATTGTCCCAGCAGCTGTATCGATGCGACTAAAAAAATCGCCATGTTAAAAAAAATAAAATTAATTTACCAAAGGAATTAAAAATCGCCACTTTTGGCGAAAATTCACCCTACATGACATCCCTGGCTAGTCATGCCAATGATAAACAAATACAAAAAATGTAAACAAATCTTGACATTTAGATGTTGAACAGCTGAGTTGAGAGCGCCATGGCTCTAACCTCAAAATAAACACTCAAGTTAGTTTATAATAAAATTTATTTATTTACTAAGTTATGAAAGTTATGAGTAGGTTTTTACGATACAGCTTACTCTTTAATAAAAGTGTCTTCCAGACCACGGCCGTACGTGGCGCAAGCAATTTCAGAAAGCCAAATGTGATTGTCAAAGTTGACCAATTGGCTGAAGTCAAAGGAACTTTCTTCAAAAATCGTTCCGAACTAACAAATTTGGAGTGGCAAAATTTAAAGGATTTATTAATTAAAAACTACAAACATATTAATCGAAATAATGTAGATGCAATTATTGTGGGCATATGCAATGAATCGGCACAGTTGACACTGGCCAAAAGCTATCTCAGCCATTTGAGGGCTAATGGTGTTGAACCGAATGATGCCACTTTGGGTAAATTGTTACGTATTTACAATAGCGTTTATCATGCAAGGGGCGGAAATGAGGATTGCTTAACGCTGGAGGAACAGAATGAAATATTGGAGATTTATCGAAATATCCGTAGAAAACATGAGGTGCTGGATTCTTTATCCTGTGAGAATCTTATTCTGGGATTGGTTGGCACCACCCACTGGAGGGATGGCCTTGAGCTAATGGAAATGATGAAGTTAACAGCAGCACCAAGTCTGCCGGTATTGAATGAAATGACAATGAAAGCATTTAAAATGCAAGATATAGAACTTGGGTGGAAGTTATTGCATCAAATGCTAGACGAACGTAAACAGCCTAAATGTGAAGTCTTTCTAACGTACCTCGATATAATTGCCAAAGATTTGAAAACACTGCCGGGGGAATTGGATAAATTCTTTATATTCTTGAAAACGCACGATGTGGTTATAACCACAAAGACGGCAAATGCAATCAATGAGTTGGCCAGCAAGCACCATAAATTGTTCTCTTGCACACTGACAAATCTGAAACGTCAGGGCAAATGTGGTTCGTGCGGTCTTCACTTGGAAAACGTGTCGTTATCCGATGTAGACTTTCATAGATTGCAAGATGTCTTTTTGGAAAAAGTGCTAATACGAAAGGATGTTTTTCAAAAATCCACACCAGAGGAGTTGAAACGTTTCACTGAATATATTGAAAGGACTGGACCATATGATTGTGTTATTGATGGTCTGAATGTGGCCTATTCCATGGGTAGCAAAAAGCCACCTCAAGCCTTAGCAAATTTGGTGAGTAGGAATTATTTTGGGTACACATAATGACTGAGTTTTCTCCTCTTTTCAGTTAGCATCTGTTGTCAAGTATTTTAAGAACAGAAACAAACATGTTTTAGTTTTGGGAAGAAATCATATGAATAAATGGCCCCAAAAGGCAATGCAATATGTAAAAAATAATGCAGCTGTATTTCTGGCAAATGATCTGTAAGTTCACATACATCTTCTCGTATCGTACACATTCATATAAATAAAACCCCATCTTACCTCCATATACATATAGATCTCAAGATGATCCATTCATGTTGTATGCCACATTAAAGAGTGGCCAAACAACAGATTTCTTTTCACGGGATTTCATGAGACAACATGCCCACTTGCTGGGACCAGATCTGAAGCTCATATTTCGACGATGGCAGCAAGAACATCAGTATTCGCTGATAACACAAACCGAAACTGGAAAAATACTTGTAAAAGAGCCTATAAGGTATCTTATATGTGCCCACAAGGTCCAAGATCATTGGCATATACCCTATAAACAAGAATATGAACAACATGTACCTGATAGTTTTGAAATACCAGAACACTGGATGTGTATTAAAATAAATAAATAAAAAAGGCCTTGAAATGTTTGTAAATTTATTTTAGAATTTTCAAACAGTTCTCAACATTTTGTACGCCAAGGGAAATATTCAAAATTATATATTGTATAACATGGTCAATGAGTGGGATCAACCTTTGCCATCCTCTTCAGAGGAAGATGACCCGACTGATGACCAGACATTTGAAGAACATCGTTATAATGAAAATATGAATAAATTAAAATCCTATGTCGATAGAATGTCTTATATGCCAGTTAAAGCACCCAACGCAAGTCCATATACGGAGAATTTGGCCAGACCAAAGAAGACGAATATCATCCAAACAGCTGAGGAGTTTGCAAATGTTGTTGAGCCCCCTGAACGAGGCCAACGTTTAAAACATTTAGCTGACAAATTTTGTACAATTACTACGGAGTAATATTAGTCTATGCTGAGAGGTTTCTTTGTTTTTAATATTGTCTATTACAGGGAATTGGAAAAATGCATACGCCAACAGAAAGCCAAAGATACACAAAGGGGCGACATACAAAAAAGGAAACAAGAAATATACTATAACATGCTAAGCAAATTGGAGCGTCAATCTCGCTTGCAATACTTAAATGTTGTTGTCAACAAGTTTGGCGATTTTATTGCAAAATTGGCAACTACAATGCGTATTCCAGCCACACTTGTGGATCCATATGCTCGCATGCAGCGTGGCATATTCTGTAACATTTTATTGGCCCTTGGAGTCCAACCGAGTAGTCAAGCTGCAATTTACTATAACACCAGCGAGGGCAATGAATATGAAGTTTACCACAGGCTGTCACATGCTCTGCTCAGCTTAATAATAAAAGCCTTGGACTCGGCTTCAACTCGTCGAGCCGACTATAGTCAGCCCATAAAAGTCGATTTTGACGTGGACAATTATATAAAAGAGCGTTTAATGTGTGCTGCTGAGAAGAAAATTCAAGCAGAAATTACCAAAGAAACGGAAAAGTCGGTAGATGAAAAATTACGAAATTTAAGAACTACTGTATACAGTAGATGTCAAAATGTCACATATAGTCCATGTAAATAGTAAAAACTGAATGAGCCCCATAATAAAATTCCTCAATTCCGTTCCTTAACTTTATGCCGTACAAATAAATCTCAGATTTCTTGAGAAAACTAAACATAAGTCGATCTAGACTTTTCTTTGTATTGTTACAAATAAGGAAAGAAGCATTAAACCCGGACATAAGACTCAAACTATACATGTGAAATGGGGTTTGGATAACGCAGAGAACACATCCGGATGGTATAAAGAGGATGAGAAGTATATGACCAGAATGAATAAGAATGGAACCAAGGTGAAATCGGTTCAACATTTGATGACAAATTTCTAGCAAAACAAGTTTTGAGGGCAAGGGGAGACTTATGTCTAACTTCACATCCTGTATGACCTTTTTATATTGGCCTTGAAAGCATTCACTTCTAAAAATATGAAGACTGGGGCGGGTCTACTTCCCATAAAAAGTTGAATCAAGGCAGAGATACTTGTCATTATCTTGGCTTTAGAATTGACTCGGAATTGGATGGGCAGCTGACCTACCAAGTTCCAAATCTAAAGAGAATATATTAGTATTCTGGAATGATTTCTAGTATCCTCTTCTTTATATGCTCTCTCGCGCTATTAACATTTCTCATCTTTAGCAGGGTCTACCCGATGATTCACGAGGTGAAAATTTGTCGGCTCCACGACTACCCCGAATCCACACGGCAAGCATGAAAACTGATTCTAAACAAACACGAGCATGTATACTTTAATGTATACCCTAGGGTGGCAGACGCTAGCCGAAGATGGGATTTTCTTGTCTCGGGTCAATACCCGCTGCGTGGAATTGTGAGGAGAGTGTCACAGTTCACCAAACTTAATCATAGTGCATAGTCAATCCCACGGCAGCGGGTTCTACCATACCGGATTGATCCCAAACAACGACATTCTAGTTTCGGCACGCGGCTGCCAATCAAGTATATACATGTTTGTGTTTGTCTATTTTTCTGCATTGGAAGCAGCATAGTCCGGAATGTCTCGTCGGTCCTAGTCCTAGTACCAGGCAATACCCGCCTGGTACTAGGGGATTTCAATGCCCACCATGAGTTGGGGCATTCCGTCCTAGGTAATGATCAGAGGGGATCAGTGTTGGCAAAGCAGATTGACTGCTCCACATTTTGCGCGGTAAACGAGGGTAAGAGAAGAGTGTCACAGTTCGCCAGATTTAACCATTGGTCACCCGGCCTGATAAATGACGTGACTTGGCAACCCGTAATTTCTCTTGGCTCAGACTATCTCCCGATAATCGTCTCCATAAAAAGATCGCCCTATTTTATATCCTTTGAACGCCGGACTTTCCTTAAACATGGAAAAGCTCACTGACCAGAATTCAGAGAATTCACCAACCGTCGCTTCAGAGAATTGCCCAACCCTTCTGATGTTCGGGTAGCTGCAGACGCTCGCTATATACCTGCTGGTCGAATATCCGAGAAAATTTCCCAGCAGAGGCAGCGGGATTAGGAAGTGAGCGTGATTATCTCCGTCGTTTCAACCCTACTGATCCCGGAACCGTAAACTGACAGTGCAAATCAACCGATTGTTACAGGAGCATAAGAGGTAAGTGTTTAGACCATCTGAAGTGTTGCAACATTGGAACCGATGTGAGTAAGCTGTTAAATCGCTATCGAACTCTGAAAAAGAAATATGATAGGACCTTTTAACGACGCAATGGAGACTAATTCGAATAGGTGCGCTAAATATTTTAACCGACAATGTGTCGAGCACCCCAAGAGAGGTAGGGCGAAGGGAAGAGTGCCACGTCGCATCAGATCTCTTCCCGCCGAGGAGGCAACGCCTCAGTTTATGATGGGGTGATGTTGCAAATGTCATCCGTTATATACAGACTTTTGTCGCCAGTAGCAAGAACACTTGAGACTTTAACCCTCCCCAGTATAAGAGGAAGCCAGAACAAGCCGAGTCATAGAACAGTGTTGGTAAACCTTGAACTATCAAAGGTATTTGATACGCCACACTGTTTGAGGATGTGGAGAGAACTTCCCTCCGGTCAAGTTTGAAACGTTGCATAATCAACTATAAGTGGAATGGGAGCTGTGAATGCTTGAATATCCGGAGATCCTGCAGCGTGTTTCAGGCAGAAATCAGTGCTATCAGGAAAGCAATGGAGCTGCTGGAAAACAGAATCAATTAATTGAATGGACCAATGGTCATATATGTCGATAGTCAGGCGGCCTTAAAGGCTCTTAATCTGGTTACAATTAAATCTATGGCAGTTCTGGTATGCAGAAATAGTCTACAAAAGTTTAAGTCGTCTGTCATTGTAACATATCTGGCAATGAATCAGCAGATGAATTGGTCAGAAGCGGATCTGAGTCGGTAGATCTAGAAATTGATAGCTCAGTGAAGTCACCACTATGTCACGTTCCAAGTAATACAATCAGAATTGGCTGATTCGAAGGGATGTAATGTCTCTAAGAAAATATGGTCTCATCTCCTTGACGAAATCTGACCCAAAGCTTATGGTGGGTGTAATTACAAATTTTGTTGTTAAAAATAATTTATTGTAAATACTTAGTTAATTGCGTGCTTCTAAATGGTACTTTATAAAATAATAACATAAAAGCTAAAATTGTTTTCAAACAATGTTTTCTAAAATAAGTAAAACATTCGAAAAAAACGCGAAATTAATTTAAGATATTTTTTCCTGACATGATGACACAACATTCATTTAGGATTGCTAGTGAACATTAGCTACATCAAGCTAATGCTCGATTGAATTCATTCACCATTCTTAGAACATATTTTTCCTTTTCGACAATTTCCTCCTTTAACATTGCTCGCAAGTTCTGCAGATTGGGCATTGAATTACAATCACGTATATTCAGTAGGGCCTTAAAGATGGCATCCCAAAGGTTCCTGTTGAAATACCGTGGTACATGGGTCTTATGCATCCAAATGCCATTAGTCTTTTTCTCAACATCCATGTATTTTCCAAAGAGCAGTACATGCAACACACCTGCCAAACCATACAAATCCAATTGATAGGTCCATGGACGCTGTTCACGCATCTCGATACATTTGAAGCTGTTGTCGTTGTGTATGAAGGAAAATGTTTGACCCTTTTTGAAACGTTTCATATCTATGGAGACTCCAAAGTCAATTAGCTGTATACAGCGTTCCTTGCTGGGGTATTGTAATCTGTAAATAAAAAAGGACTTAACGACGTCTGATTTAAGTTTATCAAATAAAAAAAAATATTACTTGTTCATTAGCAAGAAGTTATCCGCTTTGATATCGGCATGTATAATATTGACAGCATGCAAGTGATCTATTATTTCCAATAGCTCATTGGCCATCAGCATCACCACATATTCGTCCACGTTTTTCATGGTGTGTTTTTTGATTTTGTTGCAAACCGTTATAAGAGATCCGTACGGTGAAAATTGTGATATAAGTATACTGGAATTGTTGCCAATTAAAGCGTAATCTATGTTCATATAAGCTGGCAGCTGTTAAAAAAAAAAATAATTAAGAAATAATCTGCATTTTTTTTGTTTTGCATTTTACCATTTCATCGACCAATATGCGATCGTGTATTTCAAGGCATATATAAAATTCCCATAGGTTTGCCGGATTTTCTTGTTTCATTGCACAACGTTTGCCTCCGACTGTTTCTTTGCCACTAAAAGATAGGAAAGAATAATTTTGTTTATGTGCATAATGGAACGATAACTTAGAATCAATGTAAATAAACAAAAAATAAAAATTATTTAAATATTCCTATATAAAGCAGATCCTTCCTTAGTTTTACTCCTTTATTGGCGTGGATCTCTCAGTTTTAATGATGATATATAAAAAGAAAAAAGTAAAATAGTATAAGTCGGCTTTGCCGACAGATGTATAACCCCAGCCTTGAGTTATGATTATTCAAACTGTTGATCCTTTATGGGGGAAGTTCCGAAGCAGTTGCCCAATTCGTATCTAACATCAGACTGATATAAATCTTATACTTTATACCTATACTTTATATGAGATATGTGCAAATTTTTGGAAAATGTTGTTGTTGTCGGGCCGAAGTATTCCATTTTTTATACTTCATCTAATACAGATAAAAATATGAGCAAAAATTAAAGGAAATCGAACATTTATATCAAATATTATGCGAAATCATAAAATTCTATAAACTGCATATTTATATCAGATTTCTGGTTAAGAGAAATATTTAGATATAGCAAGTTGTAAAGAATCGCCGACTTGTTTCGCAAGTTATGACTGATATAAATATTGGAAATTGTGACCCCTTATGGGTGAGGTACCAAAAGGGGTTTGCAAATATACATCATCTTCACAACAGATCTTGCCTTAGCAACAATATTTGGAAGTGTGAAATTTGAAGAGAGGTGGATGCTTATTTTGCTTTCTTTGAGCGTTTTATTTTTCAAAACCTTGTGTGGGGGAGATACCAGAAGAAGTGGACCGAATAATATCCCATTTTCATACAATGATGTGTGTAATTTGAAGAGAACAGGAAGCTTATTTCGCATTTTATGATCACTTTGGTTATTCAAAACGCTAACCCTTTGTGGGGGAGATACCAGAAGAAATGGTCCGATCTGTACCATCTTTATAACAGATCTTGTATTGATGGAAATAGCGAAATGTACCATGCCTGAGTGTATTCTCATGTTAATTTCGCGTTTTATGAGCTTCATGGATGCTCATCAAAATGTTCACCCTTTATGGGGGGAGGCACCAGAAGGAGTGGACCGATATATCCCATCTTCACAGCAGATCTTGTGTTAGTAGAAATAATAAAATGTGTGAAATACAAAGAGAACCTGATTTTATAAACGTTTTGGTTATTCAAAACTATGACCCTTTGTGGGGTAGGTACAAGAAGGAATGGCCCAGTCTCTACCATCTTGTGTTTACGGAAACATAGAAATGAATGGAATCGGTTGTGAATTTCGAGCTTCATGGATACTTAAAAATGTTGACCCTTTGTGGGGGAGGTACCAGATAGAGTAGACCGATATATTCCATCTTCACACCAGACCTTGGTTTAGTAAAAATATTTTGATGTGTGTAATTTGAAGAAAACCGGATTCTTATTTTATGATCGCTTTGGTTATTTAAAACTTTGAATCCTGGTGGGGTTGGTACCAGAAGGAATGGTCCAATCTCTGCCATTTTTATAACAGATCTTGTGTTTATGGAAGCATTGCGATGTGCCAAGTCTGAATGGAATCGGATGTCAATTTCGTGTGTTATGAGCTTCAGAAGGAGTGGACCGATATATTCCACCTTCACAACAGACCTGGGACTAACAAAAATATTGTGATGTGTGTAATTTGAAGACAATCGGAAACTTACATCACATTTTATAATATTTATAATTATTCAAAATTTTTACTCTTTTTGGGGGATGTACTTGATGGAGTGGACTGATATCGCCCATTTTCGCACCTGACCAAGCACTGATGCAAATATTAGGATTTGCAAAGTTGGAGCAAAGTCGAATTATACTTTCTCTTTCTGTGCAGTAAATCAGTAAATTATTTTCTTTGAAAATGTTGACATTTTGTGTGGGAAGCACCAGAAGTAGTAGACCGATATTGCCCATCTCCGAACTCGATACAAGTTTGACAATAAATCTACGATGTACCAAGTTTGGTTCAAATCGGATACTCCCTTCGAGCCAGCCAGACGGACGGATATCGCTGGATCGACTCCAAATGTTCTGAAACGGATTGGGTTCAGAGAGACCTAGGGTCTAAAACCATTATTTCGATGAGGCACTTTTTGGTCGTATCAAATGATATATACCCTCCCTCTCTAGCCATATGGCTGAGGGTATAATTAAATGTCAAAATTAATTCAAAGTTGAAGAGCATTCTTACATAAGACTTCGTTTTGATATAGACCTATGCAGTGAAGAATGCAAGTGGTAGCTCTGGTCTTGGGCCCATTCCGAAACGATTACTATTGGCATATTTTTTGTACTATTTGCATGGTAAATATATGACATCTCGATATTCTGAACGATTTACTTATGTTACCTTTTTCAGTTTCTAAATACAATGTGATGTCAGAAAACTAAATTCGCGATGGTATCGGAAAATGCTTCTCCCTACTCCCAATTTCTACAATTTTCTTGTAATCCTTAACTTTTTTGAATATATTACAAGAGGTCGAAACCAAAAACAGGACTGATCCACAAAGTCGAACAAACAACACAAATAATTAACCACACATAGGATAGGATAATCTTTCAACTTACCAAAACACCGCACCATATGCACCTTCACCTATCAGTTTCATAACTTCAAATTCCACGCTATTAATTTTGAATTTCGACGAAGGCTTTAAACGATGTATACTACGGACCATCATGCAGTGCGTCAACTCCTGTATATAGGTGGAGAAGTGTATTTGCTCCAGAAAGGCATTGATCAGGTCCACTTTGAACGGATTAACATGCGGATCTTCGCATATATTTTCAATTAAATGTTGAGTTTGATTAAGATCTGTATCGGCATGCATGTAACGATTGTTGCTGGGCGTTTTAAAGGCTTCATCATCTTCGGCCACTTCCCATACATGAACTTGTGCCTTGGGAGTTTTGGGTGTTTGTTTATAGTAAATACTCATTTCACCGTAATCATCGTCGTCATCGTTCTCATTGCGTTCCTCGATATGACGTGTACTGATGCTGGTTGAATTTGTAGGTTGCTTTTGTTTTTGGGCCTGTATGGCAGCCCATTCGGATTGGCTGACATCGATACTAAAACGTGATATACCACCACCAGTCATTATATTTTTGGAGGTGTTGTCAAGAAAGCTTAATTTTGGTTTAGGTAAATCCATCATACTGCTTTGGATAGCTGGTGGTGGGGGAGGCATTTCTCTTGCTCCCGCATCGTTGCGCTGTGACGACATCGATGTCTGTGTCCTAGATACGTCCTTGATCAGTGTGCGTGAATTTGTTTTAGACGAAGTCTCGGCTGATAACTCCTCTGCTTTAATGTGTAAAGAGTCTTCTTGAATATGTGATAAATTCCTCGACGACATTGGACCATGATTTGGTAGCCATGTAGAGTTTTTAATCATGCTAATGTTGGTGCCAAACATTTCCGTCTCGGCATTTAATTCAAAATATTTTTCATTGTTGCCAGAGGATTTTTTGTTTTCCATGGTTGAGGTTTGAATGGTGGGATTAGAGGCCAAGAAACTTAATTTTTCACCTGAGCCAGATGCAGCTGATTTCACATTGCCGCTCAATGGCCGATTTATGGATTCACTAGGTTTATGGCTTATTGTTTCCTCTAGAAGCTTTAGTGTGGTGTTATTTTTACTTGGTTGTATTAGAGTCATTTCATTAACATCCATCGGCATGGGTGGTGGTTCCTTGATTTCTGAAAAGTCTTTCATAAATGTGTCGGTAAGTATGTTCCTCATAGATGCCGGTTGGCCTTCTCCCGAATTAGATAAAGGCTGTTTCTCGGTGACCATTTGGTAATCAGAGACATACGAAGATTTCATTGAATTTTGTTGTTTCCTTCGCATGGAAGAGTTTTCGGTTGGCTGTGAGTCGGGTACCATGGATTCATCGGCAAAAGTAGGCAAAAATGATTGCATTGTCGGCTTAAGAGAATTTTGTTTTAATCGACTGCTACTTGAGGTCTGCATGGGCTGAGAATCTGGTATTATGGAGTCGTGGCCCTGTTGTTGAGTTTCAGGAATATGTGACAAGTCTGGCAAAAATGAATCATTTGTGACTTTTTGTTGGGATGTTTTCTGCTGTGGTTGACTATCTTCAATTAGTGAAAAGTCCGGTATAAAAGTGTCCCTCAGCACGGATTTGGGTTTAGCAATTTTTGTTTGTTGCGGTTTTGTTGGTGGCGCAGAGTCGTCAGTCAAGCTGAAATCTGGAATAAATGAATCTCGCAAAACACTTTTGCTGGGTTTTGACTCCTTAAACAACCCCAAGGGTTTGGATTTTTGTTTTAATTGATCTGGGGTTTCCATATCGCAAACACGTTTCGGATTCTGTGCTACAGGTGTCATACTATCTGCTGCCATACGCAGCTGTCCCATTAAAGGCTTCTCCAGCTTCTTACTAGGCCCGCCTTTAGAGGCCTTTGGCGGCGACTGAGTAAAGAATTCAAAGAAGTTATCTTGGCTTTTGGATGCAGCCAAACTGTTGTCTTTCATTGATAAATTTGGCAACAGCTCAACCTCGGGCATTTTTGACGGTTGAGGCGGAGCCAGCATGAACTTTGTAATGGTTTCTGTTTTGTCTTCTTCAAATCTGACGGGTGCTGGGGGAGCCAATAACATTTTGGAAATGGTTTCGGTCTTGTCCTCCTGAAATTTTACTACTTGAGGTGGCGCCATCAACATTTTCGTTATAGTTTCCGTTTTGTCTTCCTGGAATTTAATTGGATTCTGTGGCGCCAATAACATTTTAGATATAGTTTCAGTTTTATCATCCTGGAAACGTACTGGTTTAACAACATAGCCCGCATCGGTGTCTTCCCTTTCTTCTAGCCGAGAAAAATCTCCGACATTTTGCTTTTTACTATTTCTATCCATGCTATCTTCAAATATGGAAAAGTTCAATGGACCCATTCCTCGACCGCTTTTTTGTACCGACGATTCATGTCTCGCAACTCCCGGAGTAGCCAACGGCCTTGACTGTGCCTTCTCTTGGTCAGCCAGTTTCTTTTGTCCCACACTTCGGTCAATGGCAGTGTCTTCGAAAATTGAGAATTCTAGTCCACGACCTGTTGGCTCCTTTTCTGCGGCAATAATTTGCTGTTTTTCGACTTTTTTAATATTGTCCGAGGAACTGGGACCCTGGGGAGGTGTTGGTGATATAGAATCTTCTATTGTACGTTCCTTGACAGTATCAAGTGTAGGTTGGTGCTGCGTATTGGCCATAGCTTGCGCCTGGGATTCCTGATCTAATTCTGGGGAACTAATTGTTGACTTTGTAGTTGCTCCGGTCGTATGGGTACTTTGTGTAGTTCCATGTTCTGATGTTTCCAAAATGGTTGATAGTTGTTTACGTTGCGGGGAGAACAGAGTAGCGGGGGCTGGCGAATTTTCATCGTTCGTAATCTCAGGTAAAGCTATAGCAGCACCACCTACATTAACGTGTTTTGCTTCCTCCTCATTTGGTACAGCCTGAGCAGCTGACGCCGGTGGAGGTGCCGTTTCCTTCAATACATTGCCGAAAATTCTCTGAGGTTCCGGTTTCATTTTGGGCGTACTAACACTTTGAGCTTTAAGGAATATATTGAAAGTTTGTGTTGAGCAAGTTTCGTCAGCATCAAAGAAACCTCCAGAACCACAGGCCATATCGGGAGATTTGCGTGCAGATGCAGTACCATTGTCTTCGAAAATCTCAAATGGTAGTTTATTTGACTTGGGTTGACTTGCTGTTGTTGAAGGAGGCAAAGGGGTTTTAAATTGAAAACCTTCTGTCGTTTCAGCCTCTAATGGCAACGTCTTTGGGACAGGGCTAATGAAACTAGTTTCTTCCTGGTAGATTTCAAATCGTTCTACCGGTTTTGAAGTCAGTTCTTCTGCTTTTGGTTTGTCGACAATATTAGAAACTTTAGCTGCTTCTGGCAGTTTAACCGAATCTTCAAAAATACGTATGGTTGGTGGGGGTTTTGCATCTGCACTTGTTGGTTTTTCCATACAGTCAGCCATAACAGCTTTCTTAGCTATATCTTTTGAATCGGGATTTCCATAATTTTGTTGGGGTAATTGTGATTCTACACTAACAGGTTTTGATGCAGACTCCTCCTGATGACTCTGGATTTTTGAGAAAATTTTGGGTAATTCTGTTTTGGAAATCATCTCTGTAGATGGTTCCTTAGTAGCATGCAACTTGGAAAGTATTTTAGGAAACTGTATATCTTCGCAATTTTCAAAGATGGGCAAACATTTTTCTGCACCCTGATTATCCTGCTTCTTAGCCTCACAACTGTCCTCATCTTCTTCCGCTGCAATACTTGGCATTATAGAATATTTTCTTCCAGCTCCTCCTCTATTGGGACAGGGAGCAATCGATTTGCGCATGGGGAAAAAGCTTTTACGTCTTTGTATTTTTTCGCTAGTTGCGCAAATGGTTTCCTCCATATCTGCTGTTTGAATAATGGTTTCATTGCGCCGAATTCTTTGAGCCAGAATTTCTTCGAATGAACGTTCAATCTTTTCTTCCACGTTATAGATTTCCTTGTACGGCACCAATATATTTGGCATGATTGGCGGTGCAAAAAAATCATCCATGGGACTTGGTTCCTGAGGCTTAGATTGCTTGGCAAAATGAGGAAATTGCCGTACATTATAGAGTGGACCACGGCCCCAGAATTTATCACGTTTGGTCACAAACGAATTCTCTATGTTTCGTTTTTTAAAGAACGCATAAGCCTTCAGTTCTTCTGGTTGAAACTCGACATTCGGACGAGGATACATTTTACACTTATTGTATAGTGGTAGAACATTTTTGTCTGGACGCTCTTCAGTCGTTACGGGGACTATCCAATCGTGATTGGGTCTATTTCGAGAACAAAAGTTTTGCGGCAATTTAATAGGTTTGTCAAACTTGGATTCCTCAAATGATATTTTTATAGGCAATAGCTGATCGTCTTCTTTATCTTCGTCTTTAATTCCCTCATCTTCGTGTATCTCAAAGCCTAATTCATTCGTTGGTACTTTTTTGGAAAAAAGTTTCCCTTTTGCATGTGGCTTATTCCAGGGACCAGGCTCCTTGAGATTTTCTTGTTCTCGTTGTGCGTCTATAATAGAGCGCACCACCGATTTTCCATCATCTTTCGATGTTGTATCAGCAGCTGATTCAGTAGATGGATCCGTAACTACTAAGTTGGGGCTTACATTTTCATCTTTGAATACTTGGACACGGACATTACCTCGAGCCGACGAATTTGCGGCCTCGGTCTAAAATGCATAATTAAATTAGAGAATTTCTTGAAACACATAAACAGGGTTTTTTTCTTTTTCTTCCTTTGAATTCTTACCTTAACTGTTCCTGGCACAATACTTTTAATGGCTGTTCCTGTTCTTACACTACCAACCATTTGTTTGCGGCGATGTCCTCTCAACGATGATAATGCCTGACGACGTTCCTGTATCTGCCGATTAGTCTCTTCTTGAACATTATCATCATCCTTGTACATCAAACGTTGGGCCACAGTGAAACCGAAATGCTGATGTGCCTCTTGTAGTTCTTCCAAGGGCTGGGCCCGACAAGCAATACCGCGGCGAAATATTTCATCAGCTTTACGTGTGTTATTGACAAGATCATAACAATAGGCCCATGCAATATACAAATCGGAAACCATTGTTCCAATGCCAGCATTAAATAACTGCTGATAGCATTCGGCGGGATCTTTGTGGTTATCAATCTGTAAATAGTAACAGCAGTAGTTATGTTGTTTGAATCAATGAAAAGTTATACGATAACTTACATATTTAATGTAGAGCTTGATCATGCGTCGATCTTGGTTATATTTTTCTTCGCTTTCAAATCGCGACAAACATTTGGCCAAAACCTCTTGTAATCCAGATTCTTTACCACCCGATGGAAAACTCTGCTCTATCCACTCGATGTAGTTATACCACGCACTAAGGGGATCATCGCCAGTGTAATTGTGTATCTCTCTTTCCAATTCATGTCTTTGGGCCATTAATTCCTGAGCAGATTCCACTCTAAGGGAAGCTTGCAATATACTTGCGTTTCGTCCCTGTGCCAAGGGTTGTATATTCTCTTTTGCCTCATCGAAATTCATTTTTGATGGGCAAATTGGAAAGACACTGCTAACTACAATAAGTTATATTTTCACCAATAAAGTTTTGTGATAAGAATCTCTTGTTGCTTCGCTGTACCACCAATTGTGTCCGAAGGACGTTCCTCCTCAACCCAATACGCGACTTTAATGACAATTTATGACGAATTTTAGTAATAACACAAACAAGATTTAACAATAAGTTCGTTTTTTCTTATTTATGGATATAATTGTAGGATTAAATAAAAGAACAAAAAAGACGCGGCGGCGGCTAAATTCAAATAAAGAAATAGAGTTGCCACGCTGTGCTTTCTGTGCATTTTGCACACAAACACATTAACAACTATCATACATAAATACACCAATCCACCTAACACACAGAGAATAGCGAATGAAGGAAGGAGCAACACAATGAATTCACGAATGTATAGAAAGTGGAAGAGGCAACGCGCAGCAACAGCTGGCATAACAATGGCGGGTAAAATTCAAATTTAGAATGAAAAAAAGAATGAGGAAGGAATGAGGAAAATAAACAAAGGCGATTACTAACTTTCCTTCCTGGCAGAATAATACAGGTTATCGCATCGCAAACAATTTTGGAACTGAATTTTTTGAATGAAAAAGTATTCAAATATGTTAAAATTGTTAACAAAAATGCATATCAAACAATCTCCGATTGACGTCGTATAGGAAAACTTTTACAAATCTCCTAATTTCTAAAAGAATAATAATTTTTTACATATCAATCTTCCCAAGCATTGCTACATCTACCTGTATTCTAAAAAAATAATAATTTTTTACATATCAATCTTCCCAAGCATTGATACATCCACCTGTATTCTTCTACCATGCTTGTTTAAACAGCTTAAGATGCAAGTACATATGAAGCTTGAAGGATTACAGAGTCGCAGTAAAGTCCTGCCGTCGTTTTGCATTATAATTTGACATTAATATGCCAAGCCATGACTTCAAGCTTTTTATAGGTTGGAAATACATAAAGTGCATATTTGACTGGCTTCTTCGTAGAGGAATAAAGGAGTTTTAGGTTGACTTAGTTCGATTTTAGCTCTATGCTTCTTTGTTATTTTCCGAAGAAGCCAGCCAGTCAAAAAAACGTTTTATGCATTCTCAGCTTAACTTTCAACTCTTGAAATTCATAGCTCCGACCACAAATAACAAATAAACACGAAACGTCAATTTACCAGCTGGCCTTTTTTGTAGTAATTGCTTAAAATAATTAAAACAAAACATTTTCAAAATCATTGACAAGAACGCACGTAGCGCACAATAGGAATATTAATAGTATTGAAATATTGAATCACGTCTTTAAAGAAAATCCAGGCTCTTTTAGCTTTTTTAACTAATTTCAAAAATGAGGAAGAATGTCAAATTTTGTTTAAACCTAATAAGCTGTTCTACCTTCTTATTGTGCCATGCAAGGATCTACCAGTTCATGGTACTAGTTTTGAATTTTTTGGATTTCATAAAGGAAATATCGGTTATCGCAATAAAAATTTTTACATTTTTGTATTTCTGGAAGAGACCAACTTTTGTTAAGGTTAGAGAATTCCAGTACTGGCCTCTATATAGGCCTTGAGCGTAATTTTGAAAATATATTTGTTTGATGTTATCTTCTTATTCCAAGCACGGATATTTCACTTTAAAATTTTAAAATCTATTGCATTGTTATCTTTTTTCATATTGATGCATCGAGTAACCGCATTTACAAAGCGATTACTCGTGCAGCATTTGTACTATTGAACACATCCCCAGTTGAACAGCTGAATACGTGACAAATGAATGCTTACGAAACATGCATCACAGTTTGAAATTGTGTCAACAAATCACTGTGAATAGAACGCAAAGACTTGTATTCATTCCTTCGAATGTGTTTGGGGGGAAAAGTGAAAAAATTGATAAATAATTGTCATTGAATTAAATGCAAAAGTGTATTAGTATCCTATAGAGTAAGTTTGTTGTAAAAATTGTATCAATAATTTTTGGTAACTTTGTTAAATTGCTCTGAGAATGACAAACGAAGAGGTTTTGCGGAAAAGTATGGTCGTTTGCACAAAGTGCGCTGTATAAGTAATTCAGCAGAGAAAATCGAAATCAACTCTGGGGGTTTATTGTGTTTTTTTTTGTTACCTGCCCATTCATTACCCAGCATTCTGCTGTTGTTGAAGTGTAAACTCTTAAAGGCTAGATGCCAGTTGAGTGTAAAATTCAGGAATAGTTGCAGTCTTTTTATACGTTTTAAATATAGTTAAACGCATTAAAGGTGAAGAATAACTATTGTAATGTGATATGATTAGTCGAACATAATCGAAGACTTGAAGTGTATGAAATTACTTAATGGTCAATACAAAGTAAAAAAATTATTTTTTTTTGGTGAAAATGCATTAATGATTTTTGTGTGAATTTGCTGAGCAATAATTATTATTTAGCGAATTAATGAATCTTCTGTCAGCGAACTAAATCAAAAGTGAATTTTTTACTTGACAAATTAACTTTGATTTTTTTGATTCTACGAAGGGACAGCTCAGCGGCAACGTTTCTACGGTATACGGTCGTTTGCACAAAAGTGCTCTGTGTCAAAAAGACTTTGGCTTGCTGCTGCGTAGCAAACGCTGAATTTCTCATTTTCATTCAAGTTGTCTGTCTAGAGTAGCGCTGCACTCTGGCGATTGTTGGTGGGTTATTCAGGGATATGGAATAATATTTTGGATGTGTAATTTTTTTTTTTCGAAATTTCTATAATAATTTGATTTGAAATTTATCGAACTAATAAATATTTGTATGCTTTATATTTCAGTTGAATATTCCAAGAGGCATTGTGTGTTGAAACTTTGCCTCGCACATATCCTTTGGGCTTTGGGTTGTTGTTGGCATTCAAAGAAACAAACAATTGATTAACTATATTTTGCGTGCGGAACGGCAGCATAGTGATTCATAATTTTCTCGGCAAAGGAGAAAGTGACAAACGATTAAAAATACAAAAATGGTACTGGCTGAAAGAAATTCGGAGTTAGTACGCAACGGAAGAAGATCCCGTGGTCCCAGTCCAAATGGTCATGGTGCCAGTTCGGGAAGTGCCAGTGGTACAGCAGCACCGGGTGGAACTGGAACACCGGAGACATCATCGGATGATGACAATTGTAATTAATTTGATAAAAAAAAAAACCTCTTTTTGCCCTTGGCTCATAACGATTTCTCATTATTTCTAGCTATAAAACGTAATGGAAAATCCAAAACTAAACAAAGCGAATATGAAGGTAGGAACAACATATGTAAAATATACGATCATTTTTTCATATATCGTTGTCTTTGATAGAAAAAATTCGTGTTGGCCGCGATTACCAAGCTGTGTGTCCTCCTTTAATACCTGAACAAGAGCGTAAACCTGAATGCCTTAATGATCGCGCTTTGCTGGTGTGGTCCCCTACAAAAGAGATTCCAGACACAAAACGTGAGTAGAAATAGTAATTACTTAAGAATTGAGCAAAGATCCGGAAGCATTGTGATCCATATTTATTACTAAAATGGTAACGTTTTATTACATAATATTGCCAGAAGAAAATGAATATGTATGATTTTGTGTTGGATCAAAATTCATGATTTTATAAAATGGATCAATGGCTTCTGATGATAAACGGACTACTTGAGGTATTGAAGGTCTTGTTAAAAAGATGTAGCAGATACCATGCTAGTTCTGATAGATAATGAAAATATTCCAGACACCATTTCGAGAATTATGCAAACAAGTCCTGTTAGGGTTAATACCTCGAGAGCATTGCTGGGTGTTCTCCACTAGAGGGTGTCATCATTTTGAGATTAGAAAACATTAAAAAACACACTATATTGCTGCTGAAATCGATAGGCAAAAACTGGTCGTTAGGAACCCTTCCATTCATAAACGAGTAAAAAAATTAAGTTCTGGCCTGGCCGAACTTTTATTACACTTTCCCGTTGGGTAAAGAAACATTTTTATATAAAAGTATCTGAATCCAAACGTGTTCCACTTTAAAGTACAAATACCAGTAAGACCGTTTGGGCAATGCTGTTAAACTTTTCAAAAAAAACCATAAAGTGGGTGAGGCCGTTGTATGGGGGTTCATATCAAAACGAGAATCTCTATAGACAATTTTATACTTCAAGGATTGTCATCTACCACATCTTCATACGAAATTTGAAAACTAGGATTATCAAAAATGTGGAAAACGTGGAACTATATATTCAATGTTCTGCCGCCGCTAGAACCCATTACGAACTACAAATACCAATTTTTAGACAAATCCGTGGGAAAATGGGGCAAAAATCATCAAAATACCGAATACTAGGAGATACCGTTATATGTGGGCTATACCAAAATGTGGACCTATAAATACAATGTTTCGAAACCGCAGCTAGAACCTATTATGGCCTATAAATACCAATTTTTAGACAAATCCATGGAAGAATCTGGCAAAAATCCTCAAAATACCGAGTAATAGGGGGTACCGTTACGTGGCGGCTATATCAAAATTTGGTCTTATATATACTATCTTCCGCCACCGTAGCTAGAATTGTGAACTACAAATACCAATTTTTAGACGATATATCTCATATTCAATACCAACCATCCTAGACACCATACAAATTGTTCTGCTAAATTTTGAAGCTCTACGTTAAGTAATGTGGGCTGTATCGTGATTCCTGTGGACAGACAGACGGACAGACATCTTTAGATGAGCTTCATCATAAAATTGAAGAAGTGTGCGAAAAACTGTCTTAACAGAGCACACATTTTGATGATAAAATTCAATTATTTGCAAGCGTTGTTCGTTTCTGAGACGATTCATGTTTTACAAGACCAGTCATGGCTAAAACTGAAGATGTTTGATAGTGAAACAAAATACGAAACAGGCATGGGCTGTATAAACCAGTGTTGTCAAAAAGATAATAGCTTAAAAAATAACCCTTTATGCAGGGTGAGATGAAAAAACTGTAACCAATTTCAGACTGCTGTCATTTCTAAGCCACTCGTACTAGAGCTGTTGAAATTATTTCAGTGAGAGCTTTTTATATTTTTTACAAGCGCATAAAAACATTTAAGAATTTTCCTGTAAAAAAGTTATTCGGGATGGGATTCAAGCATAATGGTGTGATTTCTTTATATCTGGCTGGGAAACCACAAGTGGCTATCGTTAGAGCACTCCAGCATTTAAATGTGAATAAATCGTTTGTGTCTCGTACCATCGCTCGTCACCGTCATACTGGTAGCGTAGCCCGACGTCAAGGAAGTGGACGGAAGAAAACAGCAACATCAGCAGAAATGGTTCGAAAAGTAAAGAAGCGACTTGATCGAAACCCGCGTCGCAGTGGCCGAAAAATGGCTCGTTAGCTGAACATATCGCAATATTCCATTCGCCAAATATTGAAAAATTAGCTCGGGGTTAAGCCATTGAAATTCTAAAATGTGCAAGCACTTACATCGCATCAGAAAGAAAATAGACTCAAAAGAGCTAAAGAGTTGCTTCGCTTGGCCGAAAGTGGTGAACTATTGAATTTGGTTTTCTCCGATGAGAAAACATTCATTGTCCAGCAGTTTGTAAACAAACAAAATTATCGTGTTTACTTGCCAAAGAGGTCAGGTGAAAATGTGCACCTTCCGTTGGCCACCAGAACTCAAGCACCGGCCATGGTGATGGTGTGGGCCGCCATAATAGCCGATGGTCGCTTTTTGCCGAATGCCGAATATTATCGCGAAAATATTCTGGAGGGTGTATTAAAGCCTTGGGCACGCAAACATTTTGGCCGCAGACCTTGAACATTCCAACAGGACTCAGCACCATCGCACTCAGCACGCGCCACCCAAGAATGGTTACAAAATGAGGCTCCTCGCTTCATTTCCAGCGCACAATGGCCACCAAAATCTCCGGATACCAATCCGTTGGACTATTGTGTCTGAAGTATTTTGGAAAGCAAGGTTGACACTAAAAAATAACAAAGTGTCGACCACTTCAAGCAAGCGTTTCGCCGGGAGTGGACCAAAATACCGCAGAGCAACATTCGGGCAGCGTGTGACGGTTTCATTGGCCGTTTGAAGGTCATAATTAGTGCCAAAGTTGACCAATTCGAACAAATCTAAACATTTGATGCTATTTCTGACATTTTTGCTTTCATTCAGTAAAATTTAAAAAAAAAAATTATGGCGTTTGACTTAGTTGCAGTTTTTTTTTATCTCACCCTGTATGTATTCTTTTATTGAAAGTATTATCTGCTCAAACCCATTTTGAATTTTTTTTATTTTTTTTTTCTTTACAGTCGAAGAATATATATCAGTTGCCAAAGAGAAATATGGTTATAATGGAGAACAGGCATTGGGAATGCTCTTCTGGCACAAACACGATCTTGAAAGAGCAGTTATGGATTTGTCAAATTTCACACCATTTCCCGACGAATGGACCGTCGAAGATAAAGTGTTATTTGAGCAAGCATTTCAATTCCATGGCAAAAGTTTTCATCGTATCCGTCAAATGGTAGGCATATAACTCTCTCCTCTGACTCATTGAAATTATTAATATATTCTATTTACAGTTGCCTGACAAGTCCATTGCTAGCCTGGTGAAATATTATTATTCCTGGAAAAAGACACGACATCGTCAGAGTGTCATGGATCGCCAGGAAAAAGTTAAGGCTAGCAAAGAAGGTTCTTCAGAAAATGGCAGTGATAATGGCAGTAATGAAGAATCCGACAATGATGACAAGGTAATTATTAGTTAGAATTAGGTATATATTATAATATAGTATATATGTATTTAATAAAAAAAAAACAAAAAACAATAGTACGTACGTAACTCATTCATGATTATTTTCAATTTCAATTTCGATTTCGTTTACATTAAACACGTGCTTTATTTTGTTTGTTTTTCTTCTAATGATTTACACTTGATTGCAGAGTTTAGTTATTTAATGATTTTTTGATATCTTTTTATTTTTATATTTTTCCCAACAAACAAAAACCTAACTCGTAATTTGGCTTTTAAAAAAATAAAAATAGTTACGTTGTGGCTTAAATGTAGGTGTAGTGTTTTGAAGAAAACATTAAAATAATAACAAAAGAAAACAAACCATCCATCACACATTTTATTTCTCAGCTTTTTTTTTTAATTAGACACAATTTTCCTTATTTTCTTTTAAATAAATATATATTTTTTTTGGAACAAATTATAATAAAAAAGAGTATATAAAACAAAAACCAAATAAATTTAAAAATGTGTTTATTTGTATTATATACTGTGGCTATTATATAACAAAAATAATAATTTAAACTCACATACTCTTATACAAAAAAGAAATAAAAGAAAAAAAACATTATTGAGTATAAAAATTCAAATTTATTTATATTTCTAAAAAAACAAATCATTAATACATTTAAATGGACTATGAAATGGCAATTGTAAATTGATTTTTCAAAAAACAAAATTTCAATTGAATATTAATTTTATTTGGCGCATTGTTCCATTTTTATGTTAAAAAAACAAAACAAACAATATTTGTATACCTTTTATTAAAATAATCAAGTATGTCTTCAAATTTGAGCGAAAAAAATGTTTAACATAACAACACAACTTGTAAAAATTATACATAAACAAATTCTCCATAAAGTTATATTATAAGTGCAAACATGTTTTAGTTTATTTTTCTTGGAAAAGAAAATTCGATTTTTCTTTATTTTTTCTTTATTTATTTAAACACGCAACATATTATTTGTAATTTTTGTTTTCTAGAAAATAGCTAAATTGTAAATTTGAAATGTTTATTTAAATGGCACAACGTGATAAAATATATTTCTAAACAATGTAAACTTGAAGTGAATACCTATAACTATATGAAGTTTGGTTAACACCAATGTTCATATTCCTTCCAAGACATAGAAGTATAAAGATGGGATAAGACAGAGGCAAAATATGACAACCCTGTGAAAAAAAAACTCTGTTGCTGATAACTGATTTAAACGTCTAAGGCAATATGCAATTAATTGGGAAGGTCTATGGAATAGAATCAAAGACATAGAAGTATAAAGATGGGACAAGACAGAGTCAATATATGGCAACCCTGTGAAAATACCTCTGTTGTTACGATAGCATAACATCATAGTTACAAAAGGTTAACTGATTTAAACCGCTAGAACTTTGGAACCACATTTTTGGACTTTTCAAACTTTTATTTGTCATACGATTCTGTAATTGTGGTTTTTACATTAACACTCTATGTATTGTAGAGACAAGCCTTTTGCTCGAAATGCATTTTGTCTAGTCTACCATTTTAGGTATTTGATAGAATTTTAAAAACCAAATTGTTGGATTATTCAAACTTTTATTTGTCATTCTTTGGCATATTTGTGTTTTTATACCCTCCTCCATGGAGGGTAAATATTCATGTCAGACTCAACAACAAAGTATATATATTCTTGATCAGCGTAAAATTCTAAGTCGATTTAGCGATGTCCGTCTGTCTGTTGTAATGTCGCTATCTTCGAACGAATTGAGATAGAAGGCTAAATTTTTCACACATGCATAGTTTACCAGTAGGGAGGTTAAGTTCGTAAATGGGCCATGTAGGTCCACGTTTTCATATAGCTCCCATATAACGGTACCTTATACCGATATTCGGATTTTGATGATTTTGACGACATAATTCACCGGAATTGTTTCAAATTTGGTATTTGAAGTTTGTAAAGGGCATTACAGTCCATGACAGAAAATTGTCTGTGCAGGTCCACGTCTTCATATAGCCCCCATATAACGGAACCTCCCGATATTCGGCATTTTGATGATTTTGGCGACATTATTCACCGGAATTGTTTCAAATTTGGTATTTGAAATTCGTAACGGATACTACAGCCTATGACAGAAAATTGGCTGTTCAGGTCCACGTCTTCATATAGCCCCCATATAACGGTACCTTCCGATATTCGGCATTTTGATGATTTTGGCGAAATAATTCACCGGAATTATTTCAAATTTGGTATTTGATGTTCAAAACGGATAGTTCCGCCAATGACAGAAAATTGTCTATGCAGGTCCACGTCTTAATATAGCCCCCATATAACGGTACCTTCCAATACTCGGAATTTTGATGATTTTAGCGTCATTATTCAACGGAGTAGTTTCAAATTACGTTTATGCAGGTCCATTTGCTTAGTCCATATTCTTTCCAACATTACGGTCGGTATCTTTCGATTAAATGTCTGCTTTCCAATGCATCAATTGAAGCGGTTTTGTCTGTATAGACATGAGCTTTGGCATAGCCCCATAGAAAATAACCAGAAGGCGTTAAAATGCCCGTCCCGAACGTAAAATAAACTTTTTACCGAACCGGTCCCTCAATTAGTCCCTAGCTATGCGTGCTGTGTGGCATTTGGTGCCATCTGGAGCAAGTTGAGTTAAGGGTCTATGCTCGGATCATTAGGCGGCCATTTTTAATCTGATTAGGGGAAAGTAATTTCTTCGTGAGTGAAATACCCGGTTATTTGAAATAGTCCCGCAGAAAATATCCAAAACGGCGTTAAATTGCCGGTCCCGAACTTAAAATTAACTATTTACCGAATCGAGATTAATACGGATATTATTCTCGGTCACAAACTAAGTTGGAGAAAAAACATTTAAAATAAACTATTTACCGAACCGAGAATAATATGGAGGTATATTATTCTCGGTCACCAACTAAGTTGCAGGAAACATTTAGGAATTCCTGTGAAATGCGATATGTAAGTGGTTTGTTAAGAACCTAGTATGTTTTTTTTGAGAGCTATAGTACCGTGATTTTTGATGACTGTTTAAGAAAATTGAATTTGATAGTATGCTCCACATAATTTAATTTTTAAAGATTATTTCATGCAAATGTTGACCGCAGCTGCGCCTCAAATGGTCCAGCCGCTTAGTCCAAATTTTGGCAAAACTCTTTTTAAAGAATTAGGGAGGGATTAGTGGTATTGATTCTCTTGAGACATTCTATTGTTTCATTATATATTTTAATTATTTTCGTTAGGTCCATGACCACCTACAAAATGTCGGCCAGTAAGCCCAAATTTACAAATTTTTGGAGGTCTGGTAATTACCTCTAATTTTTATACCCTAATCAAATTGAGCACAATTTTTCTTGGGTATGGATTTTAGACGCCCGAGTGCGTGACAGTTTGTAATGTCAACAATGCTAGTCTTGTCGATTTTTCTGAAGTCCCTTTCACGACAGCCCCTAAAATAATTAAGAAATACTATTGTTGTGCCGCACCAACATTTGGCTATTTTCCTAAAAAACAAAAAACCAAAAACTTTACTTTTCACAAAATTGAATATAATATTAAACGATGAAGCTTTTTGTGGCTAAATTCAAATGAATAAAAATGCCATAAACATTTGTTTTTGCTGCCGCTGTTGGTTCCTATTGATAATCATCTAATATTATATTCAATTTTCCATTTCAATTACACAACAGATTTAGTTTTTAAAAAAATAATTTATGTAACCATTCACCACCACAATATGGTGGCCACCTACTGTGGTGTGGTGGTCCTTGATGAATGTAACAATGACGTAATACTATATTTTTCATTATTTAAGCAAGCATCAAACTCATCATTTATAGTATATAGTATAATTATTGTTCCACACTGCTCTATTTTTTTTAAACGAAATTCTGAAATTAATTATAAGCTATTTTAAATTAAAACTAGATTTTAGTACAAGACTGTTTATATAAATGTTTTCTTTTATTTGATTATTATTATTAACTAACATAAACATCTGCAAAACAACAATGAAACGTCTCAAAAAGTAGCAGAAAAGAAAAAACAAAACAAAATTACTATAATCTAATAATATAAACTCATATCAACCAAAATCATAAGAAGAAGATGAAGAAGAAAAAAAATAATAAAAGAAAAAACAAAAATCCATGTTTTGTCTGCGTGAAGATTAAACAAAATTCATGTGTTTCTTTTTTTAATACAACCTTTTCTTCTACCACCTACCCACAAAAAATACCCATAGAAGATAGAATGAAAGTCAGTATTAAAGAATAATAATTGGCATATAAAACAAACAAACGAAACCTTTGGGTAAGAATACAGAATCGCAAAAAAAAGAAACAAATATAACTGCAAACAGAAGTGAAGTCGGAAAAAAAATTCACTGTTTTAAAATTATTTTTGTTTTTCCATAACATGTTCATATTTTAAGGCTTGTTGTATGCAATGCAATATATCTTTGATGAAGTACAATTAATAATGCTTTAATTTAATTATAATAAACAAATGGCAAGTGTGGCTGACAAGTGTTTGTGGAACTACTTTTACCATGTCTGGAGCATTGTTTTTCGCCAAAGCAGAAACCAAATGAAATTCAAGGATTCCAAGTTCCTTTCTTTTAACCAGAGACTTCCGAAGCGGTAGCACACAAACATATTCTGTGGTAATATCACACAGTTTTCTAAAAGAACACCACATTATCCCGGCGGAACTTCTTCCAGATTTTCAACAATTTTTAAATTTTAAATAGAGTAATGGCTCATAGAAATGTTATAAACAGAAGGCGGCCTTCACAGTATTTTCCAAAAGACAGAAGACCTTTTTAAAGGTCTTTTATATTTGGAGAACCTCTAAAAGGTCCTCTATATATGGAAGACGACCTCTAAAAGGTCTTTTTGATTTGGAAAAATTTTATAAAGTCTTCTTCAGATAGAAGACCTTCAAGAGGTCTTCTATCTACAGAACTATAGACTGCAGACCTTCACCGTATCTTCTATAGACAGAACACCATCAAAGGATCTTCTAAAGAGACCAGATTGTCAACAATTTTAAAAATTCAAAAAGAGTAATAGCTCTTAGAAATGTTATATACAGAAGGCCTTCACAGTATTTTCCATAGGCAGAAGACCTTTTCAAAGGTCTTATATTTGGAAGACCTCTAGAAGGTCTTTTTGTGATACGGAAGAATTTCAGAAGGTCTTCTACAGAGAGAAGACCTGCAAGGGGTATTCTATAGACTTTAGAGCTTTAAAAGGTCTTCTTTACACTGTAAAGCTTCATCATATCTTCTACAGACAGAAGACCTTCAAAAGTTCATCTATATATGGACGACCTCCAAAAGGTCTTCTTTATACGGAAGAACTTCAAGGGGTCTTCTATAGAGAGCTCTTCTATAGAGAGCTCTTCTATAGAAGACAGAAGACCTTTAAATGGTATTCTATAGATTTTAGATCTTTAGAATGTCTTCTAGACATTTAAAAAGTTTTCTGTATACTGCAGATCTTCACAGTATCTTCTATAGGCAGAAGCCATTCAAAAGTTCATCTTTAGAATGCGGATCTTCTATTAACTTAAGACCTGCAGAAGCAGGTTTTCTATAGATAGAATACCTCCAAGAAGCCTACTATAGATACAATACCTTCCAAAGGACTTCTGCAAATTAAAAGACATTAGATAGACATAGACAGAAGACTTTCAAATGGTCTCATATAGCCAACTAGAATGAACTTTTTACTTTTTCTGACATCGCATCAAGCCTTGATGACCTCTTTGGCCACCATGGAACTGCCGTTAACGCTTTAATTTGCAGTCTTTCATATTGCATTTCCGTGTGTCTTAAAATATGGTTCAGCTGAGATCATCAACCAAATCCTATGATTTATGACGAGCCCAAGTGTTAACTAGAGTTCGTTGGCTTTCAAGCCGTTTTGGATACGAGATGGCATGACGCCTGCAACTGTTTATTCAAATTTTTAAAAATTTTAAAATATATATGGTTTTCTGCCATCCAAAAAAAAAAAAAAAAACAATACCATCAAACACAGATGGAAATCTCTTTATGGTAAATGTCATATGTCGCCTTTCGATCTTGCCTTTTTAGTGTGTCCTAAAATACAAATTTTAATTTTAATTCAAATTTTAAATTATTTATGGTTTTCTGCTATCCAATAAAACAATACCACCAAATGCAGATGGACATTTCTTTGTGGCAAATATCATATGTCGCCATTCGGTCTTGCCTTTTTAGTAGTTTGTAAAACACACGATAATTTTTCCGTAGCTAATTCGCTTCCACTTTAAATATAAACGATTTGTGCCACTTGCTTTTTGTCCCCCAACAAAAAAATAGAAACTTCATTAAAGATATTATCTTGAATTGCATTTTACTACACAAAAAATACTCAGTGTCCTTAAATCATTGTTACTAACTTTCTTGTTCACATCGATCGTCTCATTCATATTCTTATCGCTCTTTTTATAAACATATATATTTTTTTGCAAATAGTTGCTATTTGTTATATTCTATTTTCGTCGTCGTCTATATTGCAAAAAACAATTTTACTTGAAGGGCTAAATTTTTACTTTTACTTGAAAATTTTGACCTCGACTATTCCTTAAAAGAAGGTAATTTTCTATATCCGGTGGGGGTTAGAGTCCCGTCCCACCCATTGCGCTGGAAGAGAGTTGTTGGCGGCCGTTTTTAAATATGAAACACACACAAGGTGTTGTATTGAATCTACAATTGAAAAAAAAAGAAATTACATAAATTTTGTTTGATCACCACCACACACCCACTATTGTGTAATTAATTGTTTTTTTTTTCTCCAAATCTATTTTTCATGAATGTTGTATTCATAAGAGTTTCTAAATTTTATTGTTGTAGCAAAGAAATTAAGTAGTAATTTTAAAAAACCAAAACAAAACAAAAAATCAAGCAAAATCTTATGTTTTTTCTTATTCTCTCTCTTGTCTCTTTTCCGCTGTGTTGTGTGTGTGTCGCTCGCTCGCCCGCCCTCTCTCTCTCTCCATTGGTTTTGCTGCAAACCGAATAATTTAGGATCAAACATTGTCAAGCCATGCAGGAATTTTATATGAGCAAACAAACGATTCGAGTTTAATACATGATGGTGGCGGTGGTGGTGGTCTTGATGTAGAAAATCAGTTTTCAAATGCCGCCAACAACAACAATAATAATAACAACAACAGCAGCAACAACAATAACAATAAACATCAATCTCAAACAACACCGTCCATCATTACAAATTCCGATTCGATTTATTCAAATGGCATTGCCGCAACAACAAATGCAACATCTTCCATAGTGGGCGGTGGCAGTGTCATTGGTGGCGGTGGTTATTGTTCAAATTGTGGTGTAGCCTGTAATGTGCTACACAATTCGCCACATGGTAAAATGTGTTTTAGTTGTCATCATCATTGGAGGTATGATTGGCTAAAGTTTTTTTATTAAACCAATTTTTTAATATTCATACCTCCTTCCCCCCTCCCCCCATGATAACTTAACATTCTCTAGACGCACCGGCAATAAACGTCCCACATCTGGACCATTTTTCGGCAAAAGATCTCGCGATCGTAATGCAGATCGTCACAAACGCAAACCTCCGCGTGGCATGTATATCAATCATGATGATATTGTCGCATTGGCCAGTGCAAACGATAACCAGGATGAGCTATTGGCAAATATCGATCGTGAAATTGTTTCCCTTTTGAGTCAAGTAAGATTTTTGTTATTTTGCAATATAACGTAGCTGTATTGTTTATTGTTTTTATTATAGTTTTATTGTTTTTTTTAAGCTAACACATATATACATACTAACAAACATGAAAATCCATTAGGGGAACATCCGCTTCATTTAAAAAATGATATTAAAATGAAGATATTATATGCTCCCAAAAATTAAGGGCCTGTATCAATTTATCCACAAATATCCAAAAAGTGAATGTAAAGTCGCTACTCCAATGAGTTTTCTTCCCTTAAAATGGCGAAACAATATAATTTTGGTTATGCTATAGTGGTACTCCATTGTTTTCGCTCGACTATATAGTATTCTGCATCACTATGCACAACTTTATGTCTATACGTTTTTATTGTAAATTTGTGTAAAGTAAATCGTACCAACTAGGCTGTATTGAATGCGAACTAGGGATTGGATGCGGTTTAAATTTGAAATCGAATGGAACATATATATGAGAGCTATATCTTAATCTGAATTGATATCTACTAAATATCACTGATTTTTATGTTGCATGTGTGTCCTCACTCTCTTTTTATCGAAATACAGGGTGAGATAAAAAACTGCAACCAAGTCAAACGCTATAATTTTTACATTTTTTATACCCTACACCACAAAGTGGTGAGGGTATTATGTCTTTGTGCATTTGTTTGTAACAGGCAAAAGGAAACGAGATAGACCCATAGTCCCTTTTGATGATCTGCATAGAATCACATTCTGAGTCGATTTATGCATGTCCGTCCGTCCGTCTGCCCATGCATTTTTGTAAACAAAATACAGTTCGCAATTTTTGCCCGATCCAGATGATATTTTGCACAAATCATTTGTTTGACCGAAGGACGAACCCTATTGAAATTGGAGATAATCGGTAAAAATTTAGATATAGCTCCCATATATATCTTCGTCCGATTTGCCTTTTATTGTGCACCAAACGTGTAATATCAGCCCGAATAGTATGGAATTTTGCACATACAACCAAATTAGGCCTGAAAATAAGTACGAAAAATTTGATCGAAATCGGTTCAGATATAGCTATAGCTCCCATATATATTTTTCATCCGATTTGTTATTTTTGTTCTCCGCAGCCGTAATATGCACTCTGTAACAAACACCTTTGCTAAATATTATCGAGATCGGTTCAGATTTGGATATAGCTCTCATATATAACTTCGTCCGATTTACCTTTTATTGTGCACCAAAAGA